TTCATGGGATTTTATTCATAAAATTCTTGATTATTTCAATTTTGGTCGGGATATTAGAAAATAGGTAAAAATTTTCCATACTAATATTTACTCCTCAATTAATCAGGGAGGTAATATTTCTGCCTCTGTTGACATCCATCGTGGTTGTCGTCAAGGCAACCCTATTTTCCCATACACTTTTATTTTGTACGTTGAAATTTCAGCAGCAAAAATCAGGACTAATAACAATATACATGATATACAAATTGATAATGTATCTATTCTTAATATACAGTATGCAGATGACACTGGTCTTTTACTTCATGGGTCAGAGAGCTCACTCAAGGAATTATTGAACTAACTTTTTTGCTAGAATGTCAGGTTTACATATTAACACAAGTAAAACACAGGTAATTTGGATAGGAAGCAAAAAATATAGTGTTGATTCTTTCCTTCCAGAATTGAACCTTCTCTGGGACAATAATAAGTTTACTTTAGCGCTGCACCGAACAAAGGATGTGCTCTGTTTGTAACCTGGGTTATACTGATTCTAAATACACAAAACCAGACTGATTGAAATTGAAATATGCCATTTATTAAAAATAACAAATGACGACAGAAAATATGACAATTACAATTTCCTGTTCATTAACAGTACATTAATCAACTGTACTTAATGTTATCCAATCAGAGATATCCCAAAATGAGGATGGGGTGGTTATGTTGAAAAAACATATCTTTTTTGGCCGTTTTTGATCAATATGAAATTATAATGTTTTAACTGAGATCATTTAACACTACAATAATTACACTAACAACAATTTGATGTCCAAATTCTACATATAAACTGCCTGATCCTGCAAATCGTCTTTCGGTTTTGCGCGATCAAAACAGATTTGAGTGTTTTTTGTAATACGTCATCATTTTTCCTTTTTATGTAATACGTTTCCGTTTGTCCTTGAAAATTGATCATAATGTTTAACATATGAAGGTATTAATGCAAAAGTAATTCATTAAAATGAATAGAACGGCACTATTCTACCCCGATTCTGCCCGATCCTGTAAATCGTCTTTAAGTCTTGCCCGACACAGTACGTTCTGCGAGAAAAATACAATATTTTCGCCATTTTTGGTCAATTTGAAACTTAATTGTTTGAATAATGGTCATTTAAAAACAAAATATTAAAACTAAGAACAATTTAATGCCCAAATTCTACATATAAACCGCCCGATTCTTCCCGATCCTGTAAATCGTCTTTCGGTCCGCAGACACCATTGGTAGGTATTGGCATAGAGAGACAGAAGTGGCTGAGTAAACCTTGCCTTGATCTATGTCAATACTGAATATTACGACTAGTTACAGAGTTCGGGGTACTGCTCACAACATAGGTCGCAAGCAAGGTTAGAGTAATTCTAGAGTACACGTTGCCCTGAGCTATATGGCATTAGGCTAGATACTACTGTTAGAAGTACCAGTGTTAACAGTAGGTAGCTGTGTTGTATACAGTATTGGCAGTAGATGTCCTAAGTTGATATAGATCTCATCAGTCTCGTTTGTGCTTTTATGTGCATGTGAAAGGTAACTCTGCACTTATATTCTATATACTGTTTATGGTTGTCATTGTTTCAGATAGATACTGTCTTATACTGTATAAAGCTGATTTCGGCTTATATATTGCAGTAGTGTTACTACCATACAGGGACCCAAGTATAACTTGGTCGCGGACACCACACCCCCGCTCGGCACGTTACAGTTTTATGTAATACGTCTTCATTTTTCCTTAAAAACTATTCATAATTTTTACCATATGATGATATCAATGCAAAATAAATTTATGAAAATCATTAAAACGGCACTATTCTACCCTGATTTTGCCCGATCCTGTAAATCGTCTAACCGTCATCAATGTAGACATGTTGGCTGGGATGGGGGATAGTGTTGACAAACAACCACACGTTAGTCTTGTCAATACTCGCCAGAAAATCAGAAACGTGGACTGCACTGTATTGAATAGTTCTAGAAACACTGCTCTCACGATATGACAAGCATCGTGATATCGGAAAATGTTGTTTACCTAGTCTTTTCTGTCTTTGTTCACAATTTAGCACTGACCCACGAGTGTAAATTAATGGCGCCCAGTGATATTTGTTTCTGAACTAACGCATGCGTAGTGCCCAGCTACGGACGACAACTCTGGATTGTCGTCCTCAGCTGTAACCTACAGTGTAGTCCCCCTTACCAAAACCTGCCGATCAGCGCGAAAACCATTTATGTGTTATATACATAAATTTATCTTTTGAGATTCCTAGTATGTTAAGTCATGTAGTAACGGTTGAATTGAATTAAACATATTTTATTTTATTGAAAAAAAATTATTACAACAGGATTAGGTACAAGTTATTACAACTTATGAAACACCCTTTCCCCAATATATAACAAAATATAGTTAGACAACGATTGTAGCAATGTATTCGGGAAAAATATTTTTAAAAGTTGGGTTATATTGAATAATTCCTTTTTCCTTCGAGGCAAAGTAAGCCTGAGTCAATTTTGAAAAAGCCCTTTATGGTACAATAATGACATTCAAGTGGGCAATAGATATATCTTCTATCCTGTATGGTTTAATGCTGGTATATATACCATCAATGACCTAATCAAAAATTCTGATCATTTGTCATTTTTCTCCTTTGATGAGTTTCTTCATAAATTTTCAATCAATACCAACTGTTTACAGTATCGTGGCTTGATTACAGCCGTCAAGTGTTTCTGGAGAAAACATTACTACCATCTATTAGGACCATTTCAGCCTTTTATACCACTTCTATTTGAATTTTTTTTATAAAAGTAAAATAGGTTCCAAAGATTTCTACAATTCTATTACTAAACCAGAACCAACCCCTACTGGTATTCCAAAACGGAGTGATGAATTTGACTTTGATGGTCAGAAGTGAAAATATATATTAATAATTCCATTTACTATTACGAAAAGCTCTAAGCTACCGTGGTTTCAAGTAAGGATTGTACATCACATTCTGGTTACGAACTCCTTTCTTTTCAATATTAATCTAATTCCTAGCCCTTTATGTCAACTGTGTAATATTGAAAGAGAAACTATCGTTCACTGTCTATGGGAGTGTATAGAGGTACAGACTCTATTGGGGAGATTTGAATCTCTTCTTGATATTCTTCCGATTCCTTTTTGGATAAAGAAAGAAACATATTTATTTGGAATTATCCATCCTAATGCTAATACTGTAGGTAACGAAATTTTAATTCTCATTAAATTCTATGTTTATATGTCAAGATGTCTACAAAAATCTCTTAAAATAAATGCTCTTATAAAAAAGATTAAGGTCATTTCCATGTTCAAAAGTACATTTCTAGCAAAAACACTATTATGAAAACAAAATTTGAGAATAATTGTAAAGAATGGATGCCCATTTTAGAACTATAGTATGTATTCTAACAAGTCTGTTCGTAATGGCCATGGCCTTGACTTTACCAAACTGACTTTAAATTTATTTAATTTCCACAAAATTAGTGCTATTTTTATTTAATAATGATTATAACCCTCCCAATTCTCTCTCTCGCTCTCTGTTTAGGATGTACAATGTTTCTTTAAAATATGTATTCATGAGTGAGTATGTGTGTGTGAGGAAATATCTTTGATAAGTGTAAGTGATATGATATTGTGTGTGTGTGTGTGTTTGTGTTTGTGAGTATTTTGTTAAGAACACGTAAGTTTGCTATGTGAGTGTAAGTGGGTGTGAATGTTGATGAGTGAGTTTGTATGCAGGAAGTAGTAGATACATGTGCATGATGATAAAGACGATGATGACGATGATGATGCATGTGCATGTGCATGTGTAAGACGTATTCAAGTCTTAACACACAAGTGTGAGTGTGTGTGTGTGTATGTTTTTGTGTGGATTCTCTTGTATAATGTGTATTGTGTAATATGTAAAAACTTGTCAAATAAAAAAAAATAATTAAAAAAAAAAAAAAAATAATAATAATAATAAATAATAATCACAAAAAAAAAAAAAAAAATTCAGTCCACGATATTCGTCAGCTGAGTCAGATTTATGATGAAAGGAGTGGTCTACGAAACATTAAAACACACGCGATGGTTACATAGAAAATGATTGGCTGAATGAATACCGCTGGGCAATATTTGCGGTTTTTTAATGCTCATATAAATAGGCTCCCAGATGTCCAAGTGTCGTGTATTTGTACACCGAACCCTTAGCAGCGTTTAGGTAAGTATACACTTTGAAACACGGATCATGAACCATTCTCCAAAATATTTCATACTAAATATTTGTGTTTTAAAAATTTATTTGTTTGTTATTGTTCCAATTCCATGAGTTTGAAATTACGTTTGCATCGAAAACATGACAGGGATATATTTGTTTGATACGTTCAACGATAACGTCATTGCTCTTTCTTTATTAATGACAGAACTAAACTTTAATTCCTAACTCTAGTACATTTCTCTTCAATAAAGGTTTACAGCTGTACAAAAACAGATCCGAGATGATTTCGGACAGCAATTATTGGATGTAGGATCTGAATTAATAATTTTATTAACTGACTCCATTGCAAATCAGACATGAACATGTTACTTTGGTGCTACATACAAGATATCCTGTTTAAATGAAACATTCTAGAGATACCAAACGTTAACAAATTTACATATACACGTCATAATTTTGAAACCACGGGAAATTAAAAATGATATTACTTTAGCAATTTAAACAATATCTTACAATATCATAAATATCATTGAATTATCATTGGATAGAGTATATTTCGATCTAACTTTTAATTTGTGTAAATACATTGTTTTGCTATTGAAGGCTCATTTGGAATATTTGTATTTTGAATCTGTTCACTCCAAAAATGTCTCTTTCAATACTAAAACGAAAAAAAAAAAAAAAAAAACCATTTTCCATGCCATTGAAAACTTCTGAACAAGATTATATCGCATTTTCATTGATAATCGAACTTCTTTTTAGACATGGCGGATACAGGAGTTATTCCGGCAGGAGCCTTTGGCCTCGGATTTGGAGCAGCTACCCCATTAATCAATAGTCCACTGTTCGCTCTCTTAGCGATCTTTGCAGGTATACAACGTTTTCATTGTTATTTTATTCATCTAGTTCAGAGTAAACAATATTCTATCCAAGTTTCAACATTAAAATAGTATTACAAAAATTGAAATACCAAGAAGAGGACTTGGCGAAAGCTCAAAGCTTATGTAAACAATTTCCTACTTAGTTATGGACATAGAAAAGTCATCAAGTTTGACTGAACAAAGGATTATTGGTGTCAACAACAATAGTAATGCCCGAGTACTGATCCTGTGTTTATAAGGAAATGAACGAACAACTATAGTCCGTATCAAAATACGTGTTAAGTACATTGTAACTACATAAGTATGGACAGGAAAACCTAGTAAAGGTTAGTACATTGTAACTACATAAGTATGGACAGGTAAACCTAGTAAAGGCTAGTACAGTGTTACTACATAAGTATGAACAGGTAAATCTAAAAAAGGTGAGTACATTGTAACTACATAAGTAGGAACAGATAAACCTAGTAAAGGTTAGTACATTGTAACTACATAAGTATGGACAGGTAAACCTAGTAAAGGCTAGTACAGTGTTACTACATAAGTATGAACAGGTAAATCTAAAAAAGGTGGGTACATTGTAACTACATAAGTAGGAACAGATAAACCTAGTAAAGGTTAGTACATTGTAACTACATAAGTATGGACAGGTAAACCTAGTAAAGGTTAGTACAGTGTTACTACATAAGTATGAACAGGTAAATCTAAAAAAGGTGAGTACATTGTAACTACATAGGTATGAACAGGTGAATCTAGTACAGGTAAGAACTACATTAATAAAAACGTTACCGTTATGCCTATACAAACCTTGCAATGGCGATATTATTTGGATTAGTTTTAACATGTTTACGTTTTAAAAATAATTCCGTTTGAAATAATATCTTTGCTGCCAAAGTTTGTGAAACCAATTTTTTATTTCAAGAAATTTTCAGTGTATAAAGGTGATTCACGGATATCAATTTTTGTTCAAATTGTATTATTTATAATTTTCTGTCACTCTCATTTCGTCAATTGTTTACACTTAATATTTCTTTGTTGATGTCTCTAATGAAATATTCACCGGAGAGTTTTTCAATGGTTGCGTATGTTAGATATCGATGGTAGTATCACGATACAGGATAAGGAGTTTGGGTCATGAATTTGATACAGGGCAACAGAATAGTTGCCTTCGTTTGAATTTTGTCATCTATATTTTTCGTTTAAAACTGTAAAAAAGTCACTTTTCTGAAATATGTAATAAAAGGTAACTCCAATTTGTTTTCATTTCATATGGAAAAGACTTGGTTTCATACAATCTCATATGAAGGGGAAATGATTTATTGCTATTTTAGTGCACATTTCAATCTGTTTTTTTAAACTGCATTTCTCCAGTGTCCAGTATTAACAGTGTCGCTTCTTATCGTCACAGTCCAATAGAAGAATGACACAGCTTTATGATTGTAGCTTATGGGGCATCTTGGTAGAAATTCTGTATTTGTTTTGAAATTGTACATCATTTACACGCCACAACAGAGTCTCACATTGTTATCTGTTTGCAGAACATTCCTGGAATGTATGATCATCTCTAAAAACACTCATATTAACCAGATAAGGTAAAGGGGGACGGACCAGTTCTCGCTGTCGTTAGTGTGACTAGAGTCCAGCGGACTATATACAAAATCATTATAATAAATAATTTTAGACTTAAATAAGAAATTATGAAAACTCGTCAGTATGTACCTTTAGGATCAATTATTTGGTCTACGTAATAACATTATTGTTAAACTTAAATGAAAACAGCATACTTTAAAAACATAATAAAAGAAATCAGAATGGTCAGCCCAGTTTGATATCATGATTAAAGCACAGGCAATGCATACATAAAGAACACTCAAAATTATTTTGTTTATGAGAAGTAATCTATCAGACATTGCCAGAAACATTCAATATATGGTCGAAAATGAATGTTTATGCGCCATTGGCATGCTAGGGTCTAGGCTATCTTAGAAAAATGACCGACCATCAATACGACGAATGCTTTGTAGAGGCATTATCAGCAAACGAACAAGGTACGGGGGCACCCACGAACAGGGCGTGCGCGTATGACGTCAAATCGACAAGATACCCACAAACAAACGTCGCATTTGCATAATCAGTTTCAGCTCTCTTTATTGACTACTAAAACAATTCTAGGACTTAGACGTATCACTTCCAGAACCTAACAGAACAGATTGCCAGAGACCACATACCGCCCACGATGTCCAGTTATCCGTTCTGTTTTGCTTCGATATCACAAAATTGCGCGTGTCATGAAGCAGGAGACAACCACAATGTGCTATTGATAGACGAGTTTTGATTCGATGATGGCTGTCGTGTTAGGGTGTACAGTCGGACTGGAGAACGTTACAGTGACGGTCGTGTTTGGGTGTACAGTCGGACTGGTGAACGTTACGGTGATTGTCGTGTTTGGGTGTACAGACGGACTGGAGAACGTTACGGTGACGGTCGTATTTGGGTATACAGTAGGACAGGAGAACGTTACGGTGATTGTCGTGTTTGGGTGTACAGACGGACTGGAGAACGTTACGGTGACGGTCGTATTTGGGTTTACAGTAGGACAGGAAAACGTTACAGTGACGGTCGTGTTTGGGTGTACAGTCGGAGTGGTGAACGTTACGGTGACGGTCGTATTTGGGTGTACAGTCGGACTGGAGAACGTTACAGTGTTGGTTGTGTTTGGGTGTACAGACGGAAAGAAGAACGTTACAGTGACGGTTGTGTTCGGGTGTACAGTCGGACAGGAGAACGTTACGGTGTTGGCTGTGTAAGGTGTACAGTCGGACTGGTGAACGTTACGGTGATGGTTGTGTTAGGGTGTACAGACGGACTGGAGAACGTTACAGTGACGGTTGTGTTAGGGTGTACAGACGAAAGGAAGAACGTTATGATGATTGTCGTGTTAGGGTGTACTGACGGAAAGAAGAACGTTATGATGAATGTCGTGTTAGGGTGTACTGACGGAAAGAAGAACGTTATGATGAATGTCGTGTTAGGGTGTAATGACGGAAAGAAGAACGTTATGATGAATGTCGTGTTAGGGTGTAATGACGGAAAGAAGAACGTTATGATGAATGTCGTGTTAGGGTGTACAGACGGACTGGAGAACGTTACAGTGACGGTCGTGTTTGGGTGTACAGTAGGACAGGAGAACGTTACAGTGTTGGTTGTGTTTGGGTGTACAGACGGAAAGAAGAACGTTACAGTGACGGTTGTGTTCGGGTGTACAGTCGGACAGGAGAACGTTACGGTGTTGGCTGTGTAAGGTGTACAGTCGGACTGGTGAACGTTACGGTGATGGTTGTGTTAGGGTGTACAGACGGACTGGAGAACGTTACAGTGACGGTTGTGTTAGGGTGTACAGACGAAAGGAAGAACGTTATGATGATTGTCGTGTTAGGGTGTACTGACGGAAAGAAGAACGTTATGATGAATGTCGTGTTAGGGTGTACTGACGGAAAGAAGAACGTTATGATGAATGTCGTGTTAGGGTGTAATGACGGAAAGAAGAACGTTATGATAATTGTCGTGTTAGGGTGTACAATCTGACCGGAGAACGTTACAGTCATGGTCTTGTTAGGGTGTACAGACGGAACGAAGAACGGTACAGTGATGGTCGTGTCAGGGTTTTTTTTAAGTCGGACATGAGAACGTTACGGTGACGGTCGTGTTAGGATGTACAGTCGTACATTAGAATGTTACAGTGAATGTCATGTTCGTTTACAACTTGTTTATCTTTTCGCAGTACCTGAATCTGACACCTGATACCAAGGATATTTACGACTGGAAAATTATTGTAATACGTTTTATCATTTTCAGCGGTTATTGCTGTGATCTTTGGAACTGATATACTCGAGGGTCCCCCTGGTCCGCCAGGAAGTACCGGTGTTACTGGAGTAACTGGTCCTACTGGCCCCACTGGTGCTACAGGAGTCACTGGTGCTACCGGTCCAACAGGTGCTACCGGGCCAGGGGTTACCGGTCCAGCAGGTGCTACCGGTGTCACAGGTGCTACCGGAGCTACAGGTGCTACCGGTGCCTCAGGTGTTGCCGGTGCCACAGGTGTTACCGGTGCCACAGGTGCTACCGGTGCCACAGGTGCTACCGGTGCCACAGGTGCTACCGGTGTCACAGGTCCAACCGGATAACAGCTTTCTTCTTGTTACAGCTTTCTGTGGCCAGAAATGACAGTGCGTTTCCATCTTTTGCGTTTAATGGTATGCGATTTGTTGCATGGAAACACATTATTAATTAAATTACAAGATTACACTATTGAGTATTGTTTTATGTTTAATTAGTCAAATGTAGGTCTGAACCGCTATGAATTCTATATATATCTGCTTTTTTGCAGTAAATTAACTTACGCATCCAGGAATCTACTCATTATGTTCTTATTCAAGATATTCCAATTAAAAATCGCCATTCACATTTGTATATGCATATCCATTTACGTAATCAAATGTTATATTGGAGAATTGGAAAGAAAGAAATATTTAAGGCTTTAGAATTGTAACGTTCAAACAGATATTCAATATGAAGTTATATTTCATAATTTATAAAGAATTCAACCAAAATTAAAACATCCCGCCGATAATTTATACCAGCAGATACATTTTAAAAAGAAACATCCCTCAAGTAAGGGCTAGAATTCTCATTTCATCTGTGACATATCAATTCGTAACATTTTGAGGAGATTCGCCCTAGTTACGGTTAATTTTTCTCACTTCATCTGTGAGATATTAATTGGTAATATTATGAGGAGATTCGCCCTAGTTACGGTTAATTTTTCTCACTTCATCTTTGAGATATTAATTCGTAATATTATGAGGAGATTCGCCCTAGTTACGGTTAATTTTTCTCACTTCATCTTTGAGATATTAATTCGTAATATTATGAGGAGATTCACCCTAGTTACGGTTAATTTTTCTCACTTCATCTTTGAGATATTAATTGGTAATATTATGAGGAGATTCACCCTAGTTACGGTTAATTTTTCTCACTTCATCTTTGAGATATTAATTCGTAATATTATGAGGAGATTCATCCTAGTTACGGTTAATTTTTCTCACTTCATCTGTGATATATTAATTCGTAATATTATGAGGAGATTCGCCCTAGTTACGGTTAATTCTTCTCACTTCATCCGTGATGAGTTTCAGACCCCCCACTTTACCAGTCAATGTCTATTAGTTATATTACGAAGAACCTTTAAAAAGAATGTCTAATAAATATGAATATTGATGTTAAAGTCATGTTTTAGAGACAGACTGTGTTGGTCTATTGGTAGAAGTATTTACTTGAACGAGTGTCCAAACCTCGTAAATGTCATCCTAGATTTCGTCCAATTCTATTTCTTAAATAGAAACATTTTCAAATTCTGTTTTAACAGCTCATTACAAAACAATTTCGTCAGACTCGTAAATAGGTACTAAAAGGTAGCCACTGACATGGCCAAGGCTTTCAAACTATAAACAATTAAAAATACATTTTGTCCTCTGTCTTTTGTTCAATTTTGAAGTCGCGTTGTCAATCGTTTAGTGCAGGCATTTTTACTTCACAAATTATTTACTATAAATAGACACCCCGCAAGCACAACAGGATTTCTCTCTTCAGGATTGGTTTATGGCTAAGGCCGATAAAAATACAGAGGCATGCTATATGTTATATCATATTCATATGATCATTTATCGTTGTTAAACTAATATGTCCAAAGCTATACACGTTGCAACATGTGGGATTTTCGCATTTTCTTCCTTCTTTTTAACAATCGCTTGCTTTCCCTATACATAGGAAGGCAATGAGTTCTGATCTAAGGTTGGGATATGGGCAAAAATTAGCTAATGTAACCCTAAGTGTGACACTGCAAGAAAAAACAGAAATATTCATAAGCCTACAAATTTTGTTTGAAGTATAACTGTAAATGGTGTCTTTCTATGTGTAACAAAAAAAATCATTTTGAATCTTACTTCAGTTAAGAAAAAAGAGAATTAATGAATTTAGAGCATGTAGCATTGACACTATTCCCAAACTGAGATTGGTGGTTCTTTGACCAGTTTAAAGTTTAGTATTAGGTTTGTTTATCTCAAAACATTGTCCATCATCTCGACTTAAAAAATTGCATTTTTCAAATTTATCATGTATTTAAAAAATTCTATAAAAACAGGTTTCCTCTTATTGCTTTGTCAATGTTACATGCAATTATTAAGAGACAGATATCATTAGAATTATGTTCTTGGTAAACAAGAAAAGTCATTTTTTCATTGTGTTATTGTCGTATAAAGAAAGTTCTATCAATATTTTTGCAACCTTTTCATTTCAGTAATAAAGTAGTTACATATATGTTGCATGTAACATGGACACAAAAAATATGAATCATAAAGCATTCCAGAAATGCTATTAAAACATATAAAAAGCCCCCCAATACACGATCTGTATGTAAATTATGATTATACTCCCACATATCTCAAATATAATATCGTTTAAGTAGTCGCATGTAACATTGACACCAAAAACGTGCAACTATTTATTTTCGGTTCAAGGATACGTACGGAAATCGTTCCCACCAAAAAATCGCTATCGTGAGGTCAAACCTGTTTCAAATACTAGATCTACTGGGTTTTTTTTTTTTTTTTTGTTGTTGAAAAATACAAAGAAAAAATCACACAACATTATCAAAGATCATATTTTACTCCGAATGTGTGCGTAACGCTTCAATACGTGATCAAAATTACCAGATTCCGTTGTCTCCTTGAGTTCCTCTACACCGATAGACGCTATTTTGGAAAACTGCATAGTCACGTGTTAACGTTACTGGGAGCGGGTCGAAATGTCGCAAAAAACATTATCGTTACGCGATCTGTTACAGAAATACAACTGTTCCAAAGAGAGGGGGTATTTTTAGGGTAGTTTGGACACGAAAATTAATTATATTTATTACCTGATATATTTTCCGAACTCCATTTGATTGATGAAAATTACGACAATCATATCGTACCTTGTGTTGACACTTCGTAAATTTGCAAATGCCGTGTCGATAATGCGTTTCCAAACATTTACTGAGGGAAACGTGCACGTAACGTTTGTTGACGCTAAAAGTTCCCACATTGGTTTATTTTCAATCCTATTTTTTTGCAGCATTAATCAAATCCTGCATAAAACAAGTGTATTTATCGATAGACCGATCATTTTGCAGTTGATTAACAACTTTTACAGCACCACAATTCTTCAGGCATTTAATAAATACGACTCGGAGTTTCTGCAGAAATGTCACACTTTTTGCCTGTAATTTATCCACTGGCGGCGTACAACTTGTGCTGCTTCCTTGTTATTTAATCAGTTAGATCAATTTGTTTTTTTCATATGACGATAAAAATAAACCAACTTTAATATATAAACAATGTTTATTCTCCATACTTACATGATTTTGTTTGTTTTTTATTGGATAAACTACTTTGACTCTAAAATTTCATTAGCGAATTCTTGCCCTTATACCAAAGTCTTTTAAATGGAAGTTACTATTCTCTACTATATGTTCAACATAAATCTCAAAAACAAGCTCCTTTGTCAGTATAATATGGCTGGAGAATTTCTTTGAAAAGTGCTATTAATACTGATGGCGTCAGCTCAGTTTACTGTTATAAGAAAACCGTACCAACATACCACGTGCTTACATTTCTCATACGCAACGGAGACATTCCTAAATGTACATAAGAATGCAAACTACATCAAATAAATCAAACAAGATGGCATTTATTCTGACAAATGCTTGCTTCAGTGAAGTAATTAATTACCTCGTTGTTCTGGGACTAATACATCTATACCTTGACCAGAAAAACAAAATAATGACAACTTTGAGGTAGAGATCGGTTTGTTATCAACTTGTTAGGGATTCATAACTAGGTACCCATCTAGTGAAATATAATACACGAACATTGTGAGATGAAATATATGAAAATCGTTATACAAAAAGAGAAAAATACTGTATTTGTATGTGAGACTTGAAAACAAAACAAGGAGAGAACATTTCAACACAGTACAATTTTAAACGTCTGATTTGCTGTCATCTGTACACGTTTCATTCATCTTTAGTCAACATCACCGATATTATTAGGAATAAGGAAATGCCTACCATATATCTACTGCATTGAAAATTTTATAAGTAATGAAAGTAATAAATAGAGGAATTTTGTTGGTAAAACATTGTGAGGATTGAAAAGGAGATTTGAAGAAATCATGCGAGACGTTTGGACAAACAAGCAGAAAAAGGTGACTAAGGGACCGTTGCGAGGAGAGAGGAAATTGTCAATACACTATGTTGAAGGGGATCCTATCGTTGTATATTGTGTGTTGGGCTTTAACGTTCATATGATAGAAAAACATCACAATAATCAGTTGCAATATATTAAGATTATGATATGAAAGAAAAAATCACCCAAAGATACAGTATATTTATATTGTTTTAAATGGAAATACACAAGTGTGTTGATATTGCTAGTTGAAATTCATGGTTATTATTTCAGTTGAAATAGGCGAAATGGAGATACCGAAAATAGGTATCAACTAAACATTATCATATTCCAGGACAATGTTAATATAACGTATATTTGATTTCCTCCCTCCACACAAAAAATCCCAGCAGTAGTTCTCTTTTTCCCACTGAAAATTATCGTATTGATGGTAGTAGCATAGTGTCTACAATGGTCTAGTGCATATATCATAGTGTCTGGTTCTAGCATCATAGTTTCTTTAACTCCGATTCAGGTATCATATTGTCTTTTTGCTTCTGGTTCTAGTATCATAGTGTCTGATGCTAGTATCATAGTGTCTGATGCTAGTATCATAGTGGCTGATGCTAGTATCATAGCGGCTGGTGCTAGTATCATAGCGTCTGATGCTAGTATCATAGTGTCTTTTAATACTGATTCTACTATCATAGTGTCTTCTTAATTCTGATACTAATATCATAGTGTCTTTTTACTTCTGATTTTGGGATCATAGTGTCTTTATACTTCTGGTTATAGTATCATATTGTCTTTTTTCTTCTGGTTCTGGGGTCATGTTGTCTTTATACTTCTGGTTCTAGTATCATAGTGTCTGTATACTTCTGGTTATAATATCATAGTGTTTTTTCACCTCTGGTTATAGAATCATAGTGTCTTTATACTTCTGGTTCTAGTATCGTAGTGTCTTTATACTTCTGGTTATAGAATCATAGTGTCTTTATACTTCTGGTTCTAGTATAGTAGTGTCTTTATACTTCTGGTTATAGAATCATAGTGTCTTTATACTTCTGGTTATAGAATCATAGTGTCTTTTAATACTGAACTACCATCATAGTGTCTTTTTAATTATGATTTTAATATCATAGTGTCTTTTTACTTCTGGTTCTGCGATCATAGTGTCTTTATACTTCTGGTTATAGAATCATAGTGTCTTTATACTTCTGGTTCTGGGGTCATAGTGTCTTTATACTTCTGGTTATAGAATCATAGTGTCTTTTAATACTGATTCTACCATCATAGTGTCTTTTTAATTATGATTCTAATATCATAGTGTCTTTTTACTTCTGGTTCTGCGATCATAGTGTCTTTATACTTCTGGTTATAGAATCATAGTGTCTTTATACTTCTGGTTCTGGGGTCATAGTGTCTTTATACTTCTGGTTATAGAATCATAGTGTCTTTATACTTCTGGTTCTAGTATCGTAGTGTCTTTATACTTCTGGTTATAGAATCATAGTGTCTTTATACTTCTGGTTCTAGTATCATAGTGTCTTTATACTTCTGGTTATAGTATCATATTGTCTTTTTTTCTTCTGGTTCTGGGGTCATAGTGTCTACTAGTATATACTTCTGGTTCTAGTATCATATTGTCTTTTTTTCTTCTGGTTCTGGAATCATGGTGTCTTTTTACTTCTGGTTCTGGGATCATAGTGTCTTTATACTTCTGGTTCTGGGATCATAGTGTCTTTTAATTCTGGTTCTAGTATCATAGTGTCTTTATACTTCTGGTTATAGCATCATAATGTTTTTTACCTCTGGCTCTGGGATCATAGTGTCTTTTAATTCTGGTTCTAGTATCATAGTGTCTTTATACTTCTGGTTATAGCATCATAATGTTTTTTACCTCTGGCTCTGGGATCATAGTGTCTTTTAATTCTGGTTCTAGTATCATAGTGTCTTTATACTTTTGGTTCTGTAACGTGGGATTGGTGAGGAAGTCTTTGATAGGAAAAGAAGACAACAGACACAACTTAACAATTCAAAGTTTATGTACACAAAATCAAAACCACATAATAGATATTATTTACAAGGTAGAATTATATCACCCACACAACTTTCACACCACTTCCACACAACCGTTAAGTCAATTCACATGGGCCCGGCCGCTAAACACCGCCTCCACTGAATGAGATGTAGCAATAACATCACAGTCTCAAGGTTCACTTGCAATTCCGTTTCACACGGAGACAATACAGACCACCGGTAAAAGTCTGTCAGCACAGCCAATAACACAAGGCTGAAATCTGGGTATAAAGCCCTGGGTTCAACAGGTAGACTTAGGTGCTGCAGGTCCACCTCAACATATGCATTGCGTCTGTGTCAATGCTAATCGTCTGGCCCTGTATGACGACGCAGCTTTCTCCATCATCTGATCCGCATTAGAATGCTACATAGAAGCAAACACTCTCAATAGACACGGTCAACATTGCCACAAACTTTAGGAAATTATTTCAAAGTATAAATTTATGAACTTTCTCCACATTATTATTCTAACAAAACAAATTCAATCTCATCCACATTAATCATATTTTGGCCATAGAAACTGAACAATATCGTAAGAATTTACAATTTCCTAACCTATGAAAGTGCTCTGGTTTCGTGCTGACAAGAATTCCAACAACTTAAAACGCTGATCCTAATGGGCTTCCATACAATCAAGTTCCATTAGCACCTCAACTATAGAAAGTTATTTACATACATAAAATAACCTAGATACCTTCCAAATACATATAACTACCAACTGCCTCTATGTGTATTTGGAAGTACAATTTAAATGATAAGTATAAAACAAATACAAACAGATACAGCAATCCTATACATTTCGTTACGCACGACCGCACAATCTTACAATGCCTGACTAACATTCCAAATGTATATAGACAAATAAACACAAAATAGAAAGTTACCAAGATACAAATACTAACGACAATACTTACCACAGTCTGTATAAATTCTGTGACCGTATTAGAATCCTGTATAATATATTACATCGGCGACACGGCCCGATAGAGCCCAGTCATGGCTCCTACTCGTGCGTCCTCCAGTGCCAACTCACCTGTCCACTCTACGGACACCCGCGAGCGCCACACTACCATACTTAACGCGACACAAAACACGGAAATACCACAAAACACGGAAATAACAAGTAAGGATACACACGATCGTGACATGGATCATAGTGTCTTTATACTTCTGGTTATAGAATGTATTTTTATTCCTGAAGTAGGATTCGAGGAATGTAGAGTTTAAAATAACACCAAAGATAATTTGACTAACGTTCAATATCCATTCCTTAAAACAATATTCTGAAAGAATATTTGATTTCTCCACTGTTTACAATGCTAAATCCAATTCTAACCTAGATGAGCACCATTATTCTCTGATCATGGTGGCTTTCTCTGTCCATATGTAGAAACGGTTGAGAAGTGCGTCTAAAGCGAAGATTTTATAAATATAGGTTGAGGATGAATTCGTATGAATTGTTGGTTCCATATTGAAAATATCTTTGACTGGTTTGGTGGTAAAATATCTATTGGCAAACTATTGAAGAAAACCGTGCCCCTGTCAAGGCTGACTTTTATATCTTCATACGAAGCTGAATTTATCAAAGAAGGTCACAAAGTCATGTCAAATCTTTAATTTTTGACATTCTGATATATTGATGATAAAACTAAACAGCAGGAAATGAATTGACCTGGTTCATCTTACATACCAACAAGAATGGAAATCAAAACACAACAAATCTAGAATTGTTCTAAATCAGCCGCTTATCTTAACCATCACGTATGTCAACACCTCTAACAGAGATAACTTTCCATCCGGATGATTTCCCCCAGTTTCCATTTCTAGATGGTATCAACCTTGCTTTCCCAAACTACAGAATTTTACATGTCGCATTTGATTTTATATTCAAGGACTTGTTGCAAGTAATAGATATCCGAAACAGATGTCGACAGAGGACAGGTATTCACGTACAACACAGAGATGTTGGCGACGCAGATTAGTTAAGAAGAAAGTTTAGCGTCGACATCATGATATCTAAATAAAATATTTCATTTTCTTACACGATATAAAGATACAGTTTAGATGTGTTCATTAAACACAAGTATGTCTATCTGTAAAGTTTTTATAAACCTGATTCTCATTTGAAAACATAATTATACTTTTGTCGATGAATCAAATAATGCTAACTAGTTCGGAACACGTCGTGTTGTTTCGTGACTCCTGGTAATTTTTCCTTTGTCTATATGAATAGCACTTTGATCGATTTGAAATTGTTAAGGCATGTTTATTTCGTTACAACTTCATTACCTTTTGATATCTTCAGAGATTATCAGCCATTTAGTTTAAAAACTTAATTGTCTCCGAGGCTTTGTAAATTCAAATACAATGCAATGTAACAATGATTAATGGTCAATTAAGAAATTCAACGGACTTAATTTTATCCGATAATATTTTCTTGTTTTCATATTTTGTTATATAATAATACAACGATTTTAATAGCCTCTTCAGTTTCTTTGAAATTATATTACTCTTAGATAGCGGAGGTAGTACATTTATTCTTAAATCTCAAAATTTGTCTCACAAAACAAATAGTTTTTCAACTCTGAAAAAAAAGTATTTTCACTTTTCCGAAAATATTGTAAATTACCGTATTGAAACGCTAATGTTTAAAAATCGCTTCTGTCGTACGTGTTCGCGGTAATTTGAAAAAACTAAATGTCACTTTTTCTCATGGATCAATTATGTCTTCAATAAAGTTGATTTTTTCATGTTTTGATAGTATCTTTGAAAAATACATGATACGGGCATATCTTTTTCTTCGTCAATAATATTAATTCAAATTGTGTTTTTATCGTACATTCTACTTTGCACTTCCTTCGATTATCATAGTCATCTGTGTGTCAGATTTTTCAAACATTTTTTTTTTTTAATTTTCTACTTTTAATTTGCATTATAATATAAATCAATTTACTGTATCAATCATTTAGTGATTTACAAATGTATTGTGGTTCACGTATAAGCACACTACACATATTTAATACTGACATACATCCATAAACACTCATACAGAGACATTCTTATACACAATAAACACATTCATTATAGTGTATTATGCAAAAACATACATTATTTACATACTTGCAGAATCTAATACATTGTATGTAGAGATGTTTTAATCAATTTAACGTATTATTTAGCTCTGCATAACCATAACCATGTAAACATAACATTTTGCGTTACCGTTTAACAACACATCTATATCTATTGTTGGAAATTTCAGTTCTTATCAAAATTTGAGTTTTATGCTAAAAAATGTTAATGAGTTTTAGTGTACTGATAGAAATTTCCTTTGGTTTAAATTTGCTTGTAATCGAACGCAATCCCAGATGACGGAGTTTCCTCCCTTTATGTCACTCTTCAGTTGTTTACCAATACTTCCTTGCCTACTTTCGGATTGACACTGACAGCGTTCTTGGAGGGCGCAGTATCAATCAGTGAAGAACATATACTTTAGTTCAGGTAATACTTTACTATGTCAGGTAAACAATAAGAAGTTATAATTTGAACTTTCGACCTCTTCCTTGGTGTAACATCGGTGAACATTAATACAGTCATAAGAACAGATGACAGTGCGCAGGTACCGTCTAGACATCGGTTCCGGGCCGTTATGTATTTACGGAACGGACATTTTGTCGAGCCGTATCACATAAACTATTCATAGGACACATTTTTCCATGTCAAACATCCTCTTATATGCCGATGTTTCGTATTGGTCTGCCATGTGAATAAAAATCGTCCATGAATAATACTAATAGGCCACACTTCCTCGCAACTTTTTGGCTACGGAAGTCCAAACTTACATGTCTTATATTGTAAAAATGATGATTTATAAATTATCACTTTGACAACTCATTTCCGATTTTATTTAAATAGCGAGTTGTAGACCGTAAAACATGTACTTCTGGGTCACATTGAACTAACTCAAGCATCTCTGTGATTTAGTGAAGTCATCAGAAACAGAATGAAATGCAGTCACATGTCCAATACACATGTCGATCATTTCAGGTGAGCAAATATGAGTTTAGAAAAATACTGGTATTTCACCAACCAGTTTTTAAATAAATCTTATAGTATGTAAGCATTTCGAGTCATTTATGTTTTTGCCTGGTGGCAGTTTCATCAATTTTCCATAGTCAACGGAAAATAATTCTAAAGGGTCTGAACTACTGTGCCAAAGATACAAATGTACAGGGCCTCAGCTGAGCCAGCATAACTTGTTTCTGAAATGGCGCCCGGTGCACAGATTTTATTTTCTTGTCAAGACAGGCCTTGCCATTATTTTCGGCAGCTTTTAATACCTATAGGTTATCATGCTTGAAATGTTGCATTTTTTCTTTCTCCCATAAGCAAAAACAGAAAAACATATAACGTTAGATGACATAAATTATTTATTTTACAGTTGACTTCTTCACATGGATCTATTTTACATTTGTGGTGTTATTTCTATGCCAGACAAATCAGTATAGTACAGACCAATATGTAAACGACTCATTCCCCAAACATTAACTCTGCCAACTTGAAAGGAAGGTGTTTATATAGGGAATCCTTTGAAGCTAAAGTTATAGTCTGTTTCAACTAAGAACGTCAACTTATGTTGTAAATAGGATACTTACATATCAATAATGAAATAGATAAAAAGTTTCTATTTGTTTTACATAATTGTAACACAATTTTTAGCATATAAAAGTATTATAAAATTGTTATTAAATATCAATATTATTCATTATTCAATGATTATCATGAAAGATTATGTTTAAGAAATTCAATAAGTCACCTTGATATACTGATGTCTGCAATTGAATTTTTATATTTATACGTGTAATAGTAAATCGCTAGGCACATTTTAGCACTAAAATAAACTATTATTTAAAATAAACAGTTAACCCCTAAATGGAGCTGAATTAGCATTGACAATACATTATCACTTATCGAGATATCATGTCCTTTTGCAACCTTTGATTGTCAAGTACTTGATAAGTCTCTGCTAGAAAACACAAAACAATCTATCCAAGATGGATGTTGAATCAGCACAGGTCATCAGATCGATCATTCCAGTTTGATAACGGTCCTTCAAGGTGGCCAGGCGTCTGTCAATGTTGGTGTATTTCTTCTCCTGTGTTGAATGGTGCATGCTGCATCTCCCTGAATCCGGCTGATGTCATTCGTGTTCTGTATATCCTTAAGCGTCTGGATTATGGTGTAGATGTTGGGGTGGGCATGCAGTACCTTCTTCTTCAGTTTCCCTTGCCACGCTTCAAGATAGTTGGTAGTCCAGGGTCCCTCTGTCGAGAAGTGGTCCCAGGTTGTTCGATATCCCGCTATCTGGGTCTGAGGTATGGTTGTGTGGATGTCTTCAAAAGTAAGCTGGTATGTTGTCTACTATCGAGAGAGATGCTGAACATCTTCAGAATGTCCTGGAGCTGTTCCTTCGAATCTGTCCGTAGATGAATCCATTATGCGAAAGGTTCTGCCCGCCTCATCTGTTTGTGATGCACTTAACGTTGATCTGAGCGTCAGTCATCCTGTATTTGTATCAAAATACACATATAATAATATCACTCAAATTAAACACACTTTACACTACGCTGAAAAAAGAACAAGATTAACTTATATATGTGACAAAAGTCAAGTAATAAATCAAGCAATGTGAAAATGATGCTTCAAAGTGCAGATTGAAACATAATTATTCTCCAAAATGTACTGAGATTTTATACATTTCCCATTGAACAGCTTGGGATTGGAACAGTTTTATATTTGATTCCTTTATTGCACAGTTATGAACAGATTTCTGAACAGTTATCAGAACTTGATTATCTGATCTACCTGTACAAGTTACCTGTACAACAAGGCAGGGATCCTAGGTCCTAATTCAAGCGAAGACATTGAAATATAAAATGATCTCAGTAACATTGACACTCTTCTGTCAGGAGTAACTGGTGAGTCAGATCCCGGGGTACAACACATCACCCACAACACAGACCTCGATAAAAATCAACACAACGCAATCATTCATGAAATTTTAATACATATGTTATTTTTCTGATTTTTTTTTTCTTTTTTAGAAAATTCCCACATGATATATTCTAAAAGTAAATGTTAAAATTTCATTTCGTTTTTTCTTCACTGTCATTCAATCGCCCTCCCATGATCTATAAATCATCATGTGGGTAACATGATAATTAACATGAATATACCAACACATATGTGACTGGCGATAATGGGTTCGCCCACTTCGCCATCCCTCTCCAAAATCGAATCGAATTGACGCCCATTGTAGGGACTCTTCTGTTACATGTGAAGTGTGCATAAGGTATATAAAGCTAAAAAAAACTATTTTGAATTGAGATCAATGTAATTATGAAGTCTTGATTTGCTTTCTCATCAACATGGGATGTTTGATTATAAAATGAATTTATACAGTGGAACATTTAACATCACTCAACATATTTAATTACCTTCTGACACCGACTTTTTTTTTTTTCAGAAGTTTACATAAACATCATATAATATCAAGTACATGTAACAAAAATTATGTTCTGACCCTAGCAAGACTCCATCTAGCAACATATTTATCTATTAATATTAATTAATTCATATGGTCTTTTGTGTTTGTGATAAACTGAAACAATGCTCATGTTGTTTCCTTAGTTACTACCATTCTAAAATGATTAGGTTCAAGATGAATGGAGACGACAGCCCAGTGATGGTGTATGCCCACCCAACCATGGCCTCACTGGCTCAGGAGATTGTCAGTAGATGTGAGGAACTCATGAATCTGACCGAGGGACCAAAAAGAAGTGTAAGTCAATGAAACTTTACAGAGACTATATATCACGTCTCTGCTTCAAGTAAATTGATGTGCTAATGACATTTTCTAACAAATGCATGTTTTTATGAACCATGTATTCATGGATGGAGAATTCATAGCCTATAAGTATATCTTAAAGTATATATAAGGATGAAGAATGTTTATATAAGCTATAAGCCTGTTGTCCAATTACTCTTGTTAATACATGTATACTGTACTTTCTTTTTTGTAAATTCAATTATTGTGATGTATATGTATTGACAATAGAATATTTTGAAATGAAATGAAGAATGTTTCTTGGTGCAAAAACTTGCATGTACAGACATTATTATACAATTTACCTTAATCAGTGTTGCATGATCTGATTGTTTCTATAAGACAATCGATTACTTATACCTTAGATTTTCAGCTCACCTGGCCAAAAGGGCCAAGTGAGCTATTGGGATACCACTGCATCCGTCGTCTGTCGTCCAATGTCTGTTGTCCATTGTCTGTCAACTTTTAACATATATTGCAACAATTCATGAATGACTGAGCGGATTTTAATCAAATTTGGTCTGAAACATTCTTGGGGAAACGGGAACCAATTATTTGTAAATGCAGGATGTTATCCATATTTGTTCTGAAGTTTGGGTGAAGTGGAATCAGTTTGCATAAACTGTGGGTCTCCGCCCTCTCGGGTGGTCCCCAATAAAGCAGATCTGTCACCTTCTTTAAAATATTTTCCTTCTCAACAAATGTTAATCTTTGCATTCTTGGCTTGGTGAGCAATAGGCCCCCTGGACCCCTTGTTGTATCTATGTACATGTACCAGTACAGTATGCATAGTATCTGTCAATGAGGAGACACAGATATTTATTTTTTTCTTTGAACCAATCTCAGATTTTTTTTGTCAATTAGGGCAAACATAAAATAAGAATTATGTATGGGATGTGTTCAGAGAGCAATGTGTTTATGCACTCAACTTTTACCTAGATGTCTGAGGTTTAATTTCCATAGTTAAGATGGAAAGGGGGTCACCTTCTGGGCCATCTGGGCATGCTCAGAGTATTCTGGTTTCCTTCCAAAGTAAAACCCCTTACACACTTCTGTCCAGGCCAACAAGAGTAAAACTTATAGCTTGTTTCACAAAAGTTGACAAAAATGGTTAATGTATATAAATAAAATATTTGTATAAGTAGACTAGACATGAACAGAAATCCATATTGTATCAGATACAATAAAAATTATCAATGAAATTACAATTACCATGAAATAGGGGACATTTTGTTGCATGGCGGACTTTATTACTGTAGAGAAAATCACAAAACTTTATGTTTGCATGGCTACATGATGAATATTGATATCAAACACTTGTTTGACATTTGAGTAACCAGCTGCATTTGTGTGTTGCTTAATGTTCTGTGAAGCTTCATTCATGCATCATATCAATGTTTACCTTATTTTCATATTGCCAGGACCTGGTAAGTGTGTATATATATTCTGACCAGCCTATACATATACCATAGATAATTGTATTTACATTTGCACATCAGGGTTTTTCCTGTGCTTTGTAGAATTTCTACTTTACTTCTTAAATTAATGTGAAAGATAATAAAAAGAAAAAAATTGAGCTGAAATAAATACCAAAAATCGCTTCCCTCTTTTTTGTATATTTCTTTAGAAAAGAATTTTTCGAAACTTTCCTTTCAAATAAAGGATTTTCTTGCACCCTTTTTCATTAAATGCAGTATATACATAGTGTCGTCATTGTACCTGTTACTGATATGTGTGTATGACAAATATGTTGAAGGCTCTGCTCATTTGTTTTTGTTCCAAACTATTCATCTTTTGTTTTAGTATGTAGATTAGTAGATTAGTATCTAGATTAGTATGTAGATTAGTAGATTAGTATCTAGATTAGTATGTAGATTAGTAGATTAGTATCTAGATTAGTATCTAGATTAGTATCTAGATTAGTAGTATCTAGATTAGCAGATTAGTAGATAGTAGATTAGCAGATTAGTATGTAGAGTAGATTAGTATCTAGATTAGTATCTAGATTAGTAGATTATCTAGATTAGTAGATTAGCATCTAGATTAGCAGATTAGTATGTAGATTAGTATGTAGATTAGTAGATTAGCATCTAGATTAGCAGATTAGTATGTAGATCAGATTAGTATCTAGATTAGTATGTAGATTAGTAGATTAGTATCTAGATTAGTAGATTAGATTAGTAGATTAGTATCTAGATTAGTAGATTAGTATCTAGATTAGTATGTAGATTAGTAGATTAGCATCTAGATTAGCAGATTAGTATGTAGATCAGTAGATTAGTATCTAGATTAGTATGTAGATTAGTAGATTAGTATCTAGATTAGTAGATTAGTATCTAGATTAGTATGTAGATTAGTAGATTAGCATCTAGATTAGCAGATTAGTATGTAGATCAGTAGATTAGTATCTAGATTAGTATGTAGATTAGTATCTAGATTAGTAGATTAGCATCTAAATTATCTAGATTAGCAGATTAGTATCTAGATTAGTATCTAGATTAGCAGATTAGTAGATTAGTATCTAGATTAGCAGATTAGTATCTAGATTAGTAGATTAGTATCTAGATTAGTATGTAGATTAGTAGATTAGCATCTAGATTAGCAGATTAGTATGTAGATCAGTAGATTAGTATCTAGATTAGTATGTAGATTAGTAGATTAGTATCTAGATTAGCAGATTAGTAGATTAGTATCTAGATTAGCAGATTAGTAGATTAGTATCTAGATTAGTAGATTAGTATCTAGATTCTGTTGATATTTTTTTATGAGAAGGGGTTCAATTTAATACCACAAAGTACAACATAAATTTGAACAAGTTTGATCATATAGTTTTTGTTGTCTTGTACTCCAAAAGACAGGAAAAAACCTAATGCTTATCCACATTTTTGCAGAGACTTTCACACTTGCTAGATTATACAGAATTCATAGTGACCCTAACAATGAGAGGTAATTGCAAAGATTGGTTAGAATGATTATTCAAGGGCGATAACTGAAAAATGTATTCAGTTTAGTTTTTTAAGTGACCAAATTTCATAGAGAGCATCTAAGTGTCTTGTAGTTATATATTTTGTTGTAGTTTGATTTTTTTTGTGATAGCTAAAAGCAATTAAATAATGCCATGCAAACAAAGTAGGTATTCACTGTCTTTTAATCAGTGCCATAACTGTATGCATGACTTAAATTTTGGGAATGTAACTGAGAATATAAGTCCACGTTTCACTGAAAACCTGTCACTCACTATGAGAGATTACAGCATTGATGATATAATACTCATGTCTCTGAATTTTAGTTTATATGTCCGTTGTATCCTGTGGTTTTATTTCTTTGGTCTGAAGGCAACGATAAAAGGAAATAACAACATTTGGACATAAAACCTTAATGAAAAAATATCTGTTTATAAAAACCAGTCATCATATTTATTTGTGTTGATGACCGAAAACTTTGTTTGAATGTAGCAAATTTTTCTAAAATAAAGAACCATAGACATAAAGGGAAACAACATGTACATTGTACATTTTAAAAAGCATCCATATGTCAGATCAGCTTCAACATCACAATGAGAAACTATTGTTTTGTTTTTTTGTAAACAAACTTTAAAATGTCCAAACAGATAATTATAGATTTCTTTTAATTTGTAATTATCAGGTTAATAAAGATATATCAAAACCCTGCGGCTTTTGTTAAATTTATCTATGAATTGATCAGAACCCTATAAAGAAAGACTTAACATAACAGAGAGGAAAAAACTCATTTTACTAAATTTTCCCTTTAAATCTCTGATCAAGCCGTATATTTTTTGATATTGAGGGAATATTAATTTTTACTGTTTTAGGATTTCTCATGGTTGATATCATTTACCTTATTTGACCCAATAACTGCCCATATCCCCAACAGTACCCCACTCCCATTCAGATACCTAAAAGTCTAGATTTAGTTACCTTTTAGTCAAGATCAAAAATTGTTTTAAGTCGGTTTATAAGAAGATGTACTCCAGGAAAACGTAAAAAAAAATGTTCATATCTAAGATGGTTTTATTGCATGTAAAAAAAGTAGTGATTTTATAAATACATGAACTATACAGTAGATTTTTTAGTACTGAATGTGTTTCTTTTACATCTAAGATGGTCTCTAATAAGCCTTATCTATCTCCTGCTTTGCGTTGAGTGATAGATAATATCTGTTTTCACATTAGAAAAGTGTTGGATGTTGTTTTCACTGCCTGTCCTTTTTTTACATTGTTATTTTCCACATGTAATGAATTTTTTTCTTGAATTTTGATTCTGTCAACCCTCATCAAAATTATAACCTGAAACCTATGTACTGATTATCATCTTTTTATTTCATTAAGCAAACACAACAAAAAGAAATGTTTTTAAAGTTGTGATTGATAATACCAGGGTTATAGAGAGCCTACATTCCAAGGAATGATATTGCTTTTATTGTGAAAATGTTGCCATGCTAGTATTTTCTTGATGTTTTTTTTCTCAATAATAATCAGAGAAAAACCATACTTTTCCAGATGAAACGATCTTTATCATTTTCCCCAAGTGCGCCTCGAGGTGTCCAGTACAGAAACATTCAATGGAAGAAATTCAACGATGGTTTTCCCAATATTTTTATAGATGATGTAAAAGATATGCAAGGCAGAGATGGTAACTATTTTCTTATTTCCCTTCTCTCATGTATTCTTTACTTCTTTACTAATGTATTATGTGATGTAAATGACAAATCTGATAAATTTGAGGAAATACTCCTCATCCCCTCAGTGACTTAGAGGGTATACTTGTCACCCCCTTTGTGACTTGACGGTATACTTGTAACCCCTTTGGTGACTAGACGGTATACTTGTCACCCCCTTTGTGACTAGAAGGTAAACTTGTCACCCCCTTGGTGACTAGAAGGTACACTTCTCACCTCCTTGGTGACACTTCAGTTCACTGTACTTAATATCAAAAGTTGTGACAAAGAATTAATTGTAATTGAAATGCACCAAAATGAAAGACAAGAAAAAAGTCTTTATGTGTTGATAAACAAAGATGTTTATGATACAGAATGTTTTGGCTTTAAAAATCTTTAGAATGATTTTTGTTGTAGTGATTTTCATCGGGAGTTTCCACTCACCAGACATCATCTTTGAGCAGCTGTCTCTGCTCTACATGTTTCCACGGTAACAGTATTTTGCTTCAACATATCAACATGTCTACAAAATTACCAGAATTTGAGAACGGTTGGGACTTTAACCAAAGGAGTGTTGTTCATGATTTTTTGTCAAGATTTAAAGTATGATGCATTAGCTTTTTGATGAGAGTTTTTATTCAAATCATGATTGGCTTATAATCTGTTTCTGAAAAATTAAGCACAGTGAAAACATTCAATGGCAATTTTCTATAATGAAATTTAACAATATGCTCCTGAAGGGAGCTATTTCTACTACTTTACTTATCAGAAGTAAGTACTAAATTCTAGTCCAGTGACCTTTGACCTCATCAATAAACAAAAGTAATTACTAAGGTTCTCGTATCAAATTGATATGACTATTTTAAGCACCATGCTTGTAGTTTGATACCCTTTTCATTGTTATAGATATAATGAAGGTATTTTTTGAATGATGAATTTTTCAAAACATATAATTGTCAACCAGATTCTATATCTATGTATAATTTTTTTGCAATATGGGATCACATACTTGGTATTATGTCCACTCTTACTCAGCTCTTCAAATATTCCTACAAACCCTATATCTTCTACCTCAGTCATTTATTTCAATCTTTTCGTACAATGAGACCAATATGGCCAGCTTTCCACCATGCTTATGATAAACATGATGATTTCAATTTTCCTATTGTAAATTTTCCATTTCTGGATAGCTAAATTCCAGCATCCTCAATCTATGATGTTTACATGTCACAGCTTTCCACAAGGCTTATGATAAACATGATGATTTCAATTTCCCTCTTGTAAATTTTCCATTTCTGGATAGTTAAATTCCAGCATCCTCAACCTATGATGTTTACATGTCACAGCTTTCCACCATGCTTATGATAAACATGATGATTTCAATTTTCCTTTTGTGAATTTTCCATTTCTGGATAGCTAGATTGATTCCTGGATCCTCAACCTATGATGTTTAACATGTCACAGTTGTTTTGATAATAAAGGACCACAGCATGTTCCATTATACCGATCTTCATGCAGGAAGTTGTCAACTGATGGACTAACTTGTAACACAGGGTTTCAAAAGATGCAGGTTAATGAAAATTATGAGGAATTTTGTGCGATATGAAGTTGGACCATTTGATGCTTGTTAGTTGCCTGTTGGTTCCATTGTTGTTTACTTGTTCTCATTTGAGGTGTGACATTACATACTTGGTTTGACCAAGATTTTAGTGGCTGAAGTCTTCGTTGAAGCAGAAGACGCTTACTCTTCAGGAACACCTGGCTTGTTCTACTTGTATTTTCATGTTATTTTATTGTTCTCTGATAAGAATTATCCTCTACATAGTTTAAACAATAAATTTTTTATGATATTCATCAATAATACACATTTATATTACACATGGGAAGGGAAAATCAGCAGAGCTTGTTTTAATTCTTCTTCTTTACTTTGAATCAGATATGTTTCTAAAGCTCTCATCAGCTTATTATGGGATATATATTATATTCAAATCTCTTATTTTTTTGGTAGATACCTTGCTCGTTCCTTTCATTTCATCCTCCCTTACTTCCCAACTGGAACTATGGAGCGTGTGGATACAGAGGGACAGATCGCCACAGCCAAGGCATGAATTCTATATTGTGTGATCTAATTACACTGAGTTTCTATTGAAGCTGTATGTTTCTTTTTATGCCTGTTAAGTAATATTGTAATCTTGATGGAAAATTACTTTGATTTTTTGTGGATACTTTATATATAAAATGTTGGCTCAATATCCTTGCCTATACTGTCTGGCCTAGAAGTACAGAAGCTTCTCTAGACTTAACTGTCAAAAGCTCAAAAGTGTGCTGCCAGATTGATTTTAGAGAAATCATATGATGTTTCTTCAGCAAAAATGTTTAAAATTTTGAAATGGATGCCACTTCAAAACTATTTTAAGTTCATAAAGTCAATTATGACATATAAATGTATAAATGGTATGGTGCCACAGTATCTTTCCAGTGATTTTATTTTGGCTGAAAATGTTCATCAGCAAATTACAAGGCAGATATCTAGTGAAAAGGTATTGGTTCCAAAACACAGGACAACTTATTATTCTTAACATTTCTATGTATCTGGCTGTCAGGAGTGGAACAAACTTCCAAATGAAATCAAAACTGAAACATCTTTTTCTATGTTCAAACAAAAACTAGTGTGCTATTACTTAATCTCTTAACAAGCTATTTAAATTTTCTTTCAAATACAGCTATGTTTTACTCTAGGTTATATTAATGTATAACTATGCCAACTTTTACACTTTACTATATCAGAATGTATGTATAATAGACAAATTTTTTTTTTATGATAAAAAACATTTGTGCAAACTTTTGTGCATTCTGTGATATTCCTAATGATGAAGCTTTGATAAATGTATGAAAATCTTATAATTATGTCGTGAACAATCATGCAATTAAACATATGCCATGTTTTACTAACAAGAGGACCATGTGGAAGATTAGGCTAAACAGGATCTTATATCCTCATGAAATAAGGTCTGTAAGGTATAGTTATTTTAGGATCAGCTGTATCTAGCAACATATTGAAAAAAATGATTTTTGTTACAGACACTAGCCACTCTTCTCTCTGCCATTCCCTTGACAACCAAAGGTCCAGCCCAGATATGTATCTTTGACATACATGCTCTACAGGAAAGATTTTATTTCTCGGACAACATCATCCCAAGGTTTCTATGTACTTTTATATAACACAAAGAAAAATAGGAAAATACTTTTACACCTAAAAACAACTTTTTCTCTCAATTCTACCTGTGTAATACTTGTCTGTCCAGGGCAGTACAGCAAGGTTGGCTGTTCGTGTATTCCACACCTACCCATGTAATACGGGCTTAAAGTAATATGACATATTCCTTCCCAATTATTGCCTGATACAATCTACATGTATACAGACATGTGTTCAAATAGTTATTTGTGGAGACTGTTTATATTTTTTTCGTCAGTTTTCTAGGTCAAACTTTGTTTTCCAAATCTGAGTATGGGGAATGCATTTTCGATGTCAATTTGTCAATTAATTGCATAAACAAATATGATTTTTGTCTAATATGGCATCCTTTATATTACATTGTTGACATCTGAAAATAATATATTTTCAATATTATAAAATGAGGAATGAGCGAAATTGAATCTTTGATATTTCAGGTTGAGGGATTAGATATTTTATCTTCAAGTTCAGAAAGTGTGGTGAAACCCTTGGCAAAGCCACAGGTTTTATGACATTATGTGACCCCGTGGATAGAATATCAACATCCTACAACCTGACATATGAAAAAGTAATGTTTACTTGTTGTCCTTATGTTTTCGGCTCAACTATTCCGCCGTCATCAGGATTAGACATCTAGTGGTTACAAAGCTGTTCTGAAGGTGTAAGGAACTTACCTTAATCCCTTGTGGATCTATAGAGAAACGCTAGTGCATTTTTGACATAATGAGTGTTAGGATGGCACTTTTTTGTGTCATCCTTCAGTAACTTATTGAATATGGCAGGGTCAACAAATATTATTTTTCAAGATAGAATAATATATTTTGCTATGTGGATAATGCTGACAGTTCTCTATGTAGTATTCGTTGTTTATTTGTGTATATTGACTGAGGCAAAATGTATGATACTCTGGAAAATTGTACAAAATTCACACAGCATCATTCAATAGTAATTTATTATGAGATAGAGTACAACCAAATGATGAAGTAAACTGCATCATTCTTCAGCTACACATGTGATTCATGCTTTTGTATATTTTCTTTCACTTCACGGAAAAATCCAATAAACCCCTGTTTACAGGCTATAATAACATACATTTCTTTACATTTGATTCTTTCTTCCACGCCCGCAGAATATTCACTTTTGTGCTATCTTTGATGACCACGTATATTGTAAAATTTTAATCCCCTGTAAATATTAGGAATTGTACCATATGCTCCATACTTGAAATGCCATTTATACATGCTTATCCAGGTTGGAATCAGCTGTTCCATTGCTTAAGAATGAAACATGTAAACTTCCGGATGTAGGTAATGTTGTATATGCCTTCCCAGATGATGGTGCCTTCAAAAGATTCCACCATTTTTTCCCAGAGGAGAACTCCATTACCTGTGTTAAGATCAGGGATGGCAAAAAACGAATAGTGAAGGTTAAAGATGGTGAGTCAAAGTCATGACTTTGTGCAATTGACTTATTCCAAGAACAAATTAATCATAAGTATAAACATATTCCATCAACATTTTAAAGGATTCAGTCAAAATTCACACTGTAGTATTCAAACAATTTGAATATAAAGTTCAGCATCTCAAAAAATATTGCTATTGATGTGTTAGTATTGAAGGGTCAAAGGTCACACTTGAAAATACATTATGATAATATAATACAGGTATCTTCATAATTTTTACTATTGATAAGACTTAAGTTTGTTTGCTGGGTTTTTTGCCCTGTAAGCAGTCAAGGTCATTGTGAGGGGAGTTTCCTTATAGTAACTGGATGCTACCTCGCTGAACAAGATACAGAAGGCCTGTCGCATGCCAACCTAAGGAATTAGGTTAATGTCTTGCCAATGAACAAAACCATGTCAGTACAGACTAGTCTATTTCTGGATGTTAAATGAAATACTCTTTTAAGTTTGAAGAAAAATAACAATGTTTGAATTTTCTTTATCAGGAAATCCTGAGGGGAAGCACGTGATTATTATTGATGATCTGGTACAAACTGGTGGAACATTGAAGGAATGTGGTCGAGTAAGTCTTATCTTTTAACATTTATAACGGACTGTTACAGTCAATCCTCTTCAGGTTTTTACATGCCTTCATAGTTTTGAAAATCATTATAGCAAATGTAGAGACAATCAGTATTGATAAAACTTCAATCAACATATGTAATTTTCTCTTTTTAGCTTTGACATTTTTGTGTGCTCATTGTAATTGTAATTATACCAACGTTTGTAATTTCCGACCATTCACATTTATTCATGACAGTACAAGCTTTATTATCAAGGCTAGCATGGTTATCTGTTCTTTGATGGAGAGGGTACAAAATGAGATATTTTATTATCGATCTCCAGCAGATCTTTTCTTTGAATTTCCTCTGCATAAGTGATATGTAAGAAAGTAGTATTTTTGAGAAAGAATTGAGACATGACTAGTTTGTGTCAGAAGCATTGAGACATGACTAGTTTGTGTCAGAAGCATTGAGACATGACTAGTTTGTGTCAGAAATGTTGAGACATGACAGGTTTGTGTCACAATCGTTGAGACATGATTAGTTTGTATCAGAAGTATTGAGGCATGACTAGTTTGTGTCAGAAGCATTGAGACATGACTAGTTTGTGTCAGAAGCATTGAGACATGACTAGTTTGTGTCAGAAGCATTGAGACATGACTAGTTTGTGTCAGAAGCATTGAGACATGACAGGTTTGTGTCACAATCGTTGAGACATGATTAGTTTGTATCAGAAGTATTGAGGCATGACTAGTTTGTGTCAGAAGCATTGAGACATGACTAGTTTGTGTCAGAAGCATTGAGACATGACTTGTTTGTGTCAGAAATATTGAGACATGACAAGTTTGTGTCACAATCGTTGAGACATGATTAGTTTATATCAGAAGCATTGAGGCATGACTAGTTTGTGTCACAATCGTTGATACATGACTAGTTTGTATCAGAAGCATTGAGGCATGACTAGTTTGTGTCACAATCGTTAAGACATGACTAGTTTGTATCAGAAGCATTGAGACATGACTAGTTTGTATCGGAAGCATTGAGACATGATTGGTTTGTGTCAGAAGCATTGAGACATGACTAGTTTGTGTCAGAAATGTTGAGACATGACAGGTTTGTGTCACAATCGTTGAGACATGATTAGTTTGTATCAGAAGTATTGAGGCATGACTAGTTTGTGTCAGAAGCATTGAGACATGACTAGTTTGTGTCAGAAGCATTGAGACATGACTAGTTTGTGTCAGAAATATTGAGACATGACAGGTTTGTGTCACAATCGTTGAGACATGATTAGTTTGTATCAGAAGTATTGAGGCATGACTAGTTTGTGTCAGAAGCATTGAGACATGACTAGTTTGTGTCAGAAGCAATGAGACATGACTAGTTTGTGTCAGAAGCATTGAGACATGACTTGTTTGTGTCAGAAATATTGAGACATGACGAGTTTGTGTCACAATCGTTGAGACATGATTAGTTTATATCAGAAGCATTGAGGCATGACTAGTTTGTGTCACAATCGTTGATACATGACTAGTTTGTATCAGAAGCATTGAGGCATGACTAGTTTGTGTCACAATCGTTGATACATGACTAGTTTGTATCAGAAGCATTGAGGCATGACTAGTTTGTGTCACAATCGTTGAGACATGACTAGTTTGTATCAGAAGCATTGGGACATGACTAGTTTGTATCGGAAGCATTGAGACATGATTGGTTTGTGTCAGAAGCATTGAGACATGACTAGATTGTATCAGAAGCATTGAAGGGAGAGCATATAGACGCTGCTTCTCCGTCCGTCCGTCCGTTCATGCGTCATAATTTTGCATAATTTAGATATGATTACCCTTTGTTAATTTTTATACTTAAATTTTGTACACTAAAATCATTTGAGGTATCAACATGAAACTTTATAGGTAGATAGATATCAACAAGGAGAAGTGCAGTGCACAAGAACCATCACTCTCTTTTGCATAAGTAAGGAGTTATTGCCCTTTGTTAATTTTCCTACTTAAATTTTGTCTGGAGCATTACACTAAAATTATGAGAAGTATTAACATGAAACATCCTAGGTAAATAGATTTCAATGAGTAGGAGGGCAGTGCACAAGAGTCATATCAGCCCCTTTTTTCATACTTAAATTTTGTCCCAATTGGTGAAAATTACCTGTCTCTGACGGTCCTTGTTTGTTTTTTATCTAGCTCACCCTTACAATGTTGATTTAAAGGCTATGTACTGGCTACGTATGAGTATTGTTTAAGAAATATGTTACGAGATGATTCGTAATTTTCAGGCGCTGCTGGAGAAGGGGGCCAAATGTGTAAGTGCTTACGTAACACATGCAGTTTTCCCAAACAAGTCCTGGGAGAAGTTCATGCAGGACGATGTTAAATTTGAGAACTTCTGGATAACGGATTCGCTACCACATGCAAAATCTATATGTGAAAATAAACCATTTAAGTTGCTGTCATTACGAGATCCTATTGCTGAGATGCTGATGGGGTATGATTTGATGCCTTACTGCTAGTGTATTTATCTTCAGGCATCAAATATACAGGACCATCAACCCATTTTAGAACCTTTTAAAAATAGTCCGATCAGATTTATTGAGCAAGATTTATCATTGAAATTAAGTGTGCGCGAAATAGTTAGTTTTTGTTGCAAAATCAAGAAATTTGAGCCCACGAAAATATCCGTTTATACAGTTCATCACACAATTTAATATACCCCTCATTTACATAGTCATCAAAAATTTATGATACTCATATTTTAATACTGCATATTACATTGTAAGTCACAAAAACTAGATATATTCTAATTAATTCACCAAGCAGAACGTTCCTTGTTTCAAATATCTTCCTATGTCCTTCAACATTATACTGACAAGGATGAAACAGCCTTATGGCACATTTTATTTAATTATTTGATTCCACTGTATCCAACATTCACTTTTGTGCCTATTGTACAATCGTCTTATCGGGAAAAATGTTCTTGTTTATTGTCCTAATGCATCTTTCAAGGAAATATATGAAAGAACAAACGCAAAAACAAAATTAAAAATTCGCAAAATCTTTTTGAGATACAACATAATATTTATAGATGTAATTTTGTTTTGATATTTTTATGTCGTGGTGTGCAAGAGTAGCCTGTTGAAAATATAGATTAGCAATACTGATACTCATATGTTCCTTTATGGATTATTCACGTTGAATCGTTTTATATATAGTGTAGTATGTGGAAAATAAGATCGTTGTATTGTGTTATATATGTACATTTAAAATATGGAAATTGATCTATAAAAGCTTTGTTAAATTTTTTGCAAAAGTTTCATAAAAACATAACGATGTCTGATTTACAGGTGTATATACTAGAGAATGTTAATATTTCAAGATTTCGTATTTCCCTCTGTCTTCAGAATGATGCCATTCTGTTGACAAAACAAATCTTACGTCCTTAACACGCAATTGCTGTCTATGATTACACAGGTTGTTTTTCTTGGTTCAATTTATAACAGCTTTCTATAAGTTTGAAGCAAGAAGTATTAGTTCGCTGCATTTATGAAATGAAGGAACCTACAAGTATTTGTCAGTATATTTTATATAGTTGTAATCTTTGGTATTAATATTATATCCATTTAAAAGCCGAAAATAGCTCTTTCAAATAGAAAAAAGTTAATCTGTACGATTAGCAGTTGTAAAACTAAAACACTGTTTTACAGGTCGTAATTTTTATTTGATTTGTCTTGTCTGTCATGCTGAGGATGAATTTTTTTAAAGTCAATTAAATTTCTATGCCAAATTTCTTTATTTTTGTGTTTAGAGATGTATTTGTTACATTTTGGTTTCAACTGCATTTATTTTCAAAATATGTTTAGTTATTGTTCATATAATGTAATACACTCACACCCTCAAGAGAAGTACTTGATGGATCTTTCTCAAATTGCATGTATAGGTTCCCTTGGTACGTAAGTGTGCCAGTTTGATTTTTGGACTGATCAGAAAACAAAATGGCCGATAGGCAGCCATCTTGGGTTTTTTCAATGAGGTTTGTTTTCGCTATTTCTTGAAAAGTAAGAGATGGATCCCTCTCAAATTTCATATTCAGGTTCCCCTTAGTCTCGTGTTGTAATTTTGGGACTGATCAGAAGAACCAAATGGCCGAAAGGTGGCCATCTTGGAGTTTGATTTTAAATGATTGTTATCGCTATTTCTTGAAGGATCTCTCTCAAATTTAATATGTAGGTTCCCCCTTGGTCCTTAGTGTTGTGCCCATTTGATTTAGGCTCTGTTCAGAAAACAAAATGGCTGACTGACGGCCTCTTGGATTTTTACTTTGCAAGTTTGTTATCGATACATCTTGAGAACTATTGTATAGATCTTTCTCAAATTCAAAAAAAATCATTTTGTTCCCTGGTTGATCCCATCTAATTTTGGGACTGATTAGAAAGGTGGCCATCTTGGATTTAAACTTTTAAAGTTGGTTATCGCTTTTCTACAGAAGAACTGAATGGATCTTTCTTAAATATCATATGTGAGTACCCCTTTTCCCGTAATTGTGCCCTTTCGGTTTTGGGTCTGATCCGAAAAACAAAATGGCCGAAAGGCGGCAAGCTTTGATTTTGACTTCGGAAGTTTGTTATCAACACTATTTCTTGAGAACTACTCTATAGATATTTCTAAAATTTCATGTGTAGGTTCCTGTAGGTCCCTATTTGTGTCTGTTTGAGTTTGGGACTGATCTGGAAAACAAAATGGCTTTCAGGCTGCCATCTTTGATTTTACCTGGAAAAGACTGCTATTGCTATTTCTTAACAAGTACAGAATGAATGTCTCTCAAATTTCACAAGTATGTTTCTTTTGGTCTCTCCTTGTGCTCGTGTGATTTTGGGACTGATCAGAAGAAATGAAATTTATTCCAGGCGGCCATTTTAGATTTGGCAGGTAAAGATTGTCATTGCTTCTTCTGCAAAGGAATGTCTTATCATTAAGAGCAAAAACAGAGATGAGAATAGAAAAGAAGGGAAAAATCCAACTTTCAAAGAGCATATAAAGATCAAACAATGGTGAGAGACTAGATCCCTCTGGGATCTCTTGTTACTAAATGTATTGCTGTGAGCAGCAGAATTTCATCGTATACATGTTGCTGTTTACAATAATACCGCCTATGTGTTTTCCTGATAGTCTGGACTTTTTAAAAGTATGTTTAATGATTAGTCGATGTTAGAATCAATTTATAAGGAAAGTATGACAGAAATTAGATGCATTTGTTTATGAATTATGTGACGTTTAATGGTGAAGGTTACTTGTAGGATGAGCTTACCTAATTAAACTTCAAAAACACTCAGTAGCTACTGACCTAGTCTCCACAATATCTTGTTGCCACTAATTTCGCCTCTCCCCCAATCTGCTTGAAATAATAACTGGTCACCCCACTTTCTTGCTCCGACTAATCTGGTCACCTAACGATATTTCGCCAACTAAATTGGCCACCATACAAACCTAACCAACTAATATCATCGTCTTGCGAATGTTGTCGCCCAATATATTGATTTTACTAATCTGGTAGCCCAGTTATCTTATAAAGATTTTTTATCTCGACATTCAGAAATTTCATCTGGACTTCAGTCTTTCAAAACTTATCCAGTTGTTTTACTTTCCTCATTTTCCGAATATCTTAATTTGATGACCCTAGTATGTAGGCCATTCAGAATAGTGGTTTTGATATATGCGTGCAATGTATTTTGATATGACTAGACTAATGTAGAAGTTTACTAAGCATTGCATCCCAGGGTGATTCGGATAAGATCAAATGTTGGTGAGAGAGCATTTCTGCTAAGGAATGGCGATGTTGAGCGATTCATGGATGTTCAGAAGACCAGATGGAAAAATGTGATATGAACAAAGCATGAGCTGTATTTTAAAAAATCTGTGTTTACATGTGCACGTGGAACTTTAATTACTTAGCGTAACATCTTTTCAGTAGTTTTAATGAAACCTCAATAACTTGGTATATTGTATGATGTTATACAGCCAATAAGATAAAATTGTAAATAAACAACCCAAACAAGTCCATGCTACAAAGTTGGTTTTTCAGTCAGTGTATACGATCTTGGGGAATATCCGTCCCATTTTTAACACGAGGACTTCCATATCGTATTTACGTTCAACATACACTATCAGTAGTTTCTTCTTCGTTTCCAAATGATAACGTTTGTGGCAGACACAGAACAATCATCTTTGTATTTAAGTGTTCTTCTGTATCTAGGGAGTCGATGAGTTTAACAAGCTCTATGAAAAGGTTGATGCGGTAATTCGATGAATTCAGTGAATCAGTGTTTTTGATGTTTTGTTTGTTTGTTTGTATTTTTTGAGATTACTGTGAAATAATTTGCGTTATTATGGAATATCATGTATTTTTTTTATTTGTGGAACAATGATGCATGAAATTACCACATGGTGTCTTACCATATACGTTATGAAATCTAACAATAAATACGAATTGGGTACTTCAGTTGGATATGGATTTCAGTTAAATGACAGCCGTCGTGTTTGAAAACTGAATTTTATTGTTCTTTCAACAGTGAATATGTTTTATTTGCTATATTATTTTCTGACAGTATTAACTTTTTGTAATAGGACAAAGTAGCGTCTGTAACTAATGATATTTATCTTTGAAGATAATTAATTAACATTTAAGTCAAACTTAAATCACATAACATAAATGCAATAAAGGTATTTCAACTGATAATAATCGCTCATGCTGGCACTGATGGGAGCGCGCGAGGGGTCTTATAGTTAGCGAAAAATAACAGAATATTCGGCGGTGGGGGGAACCATGTTGACTGGCAGGTGACCTTATACCTTTTCCTGTTCGTTCAGAGAATCGATTCCTAGAACGGCTTTGTGAAATGCGAGTGCATAACTACTACACCTCTTGACTATCCATAAAATGTCCGTAATAGATCTATGCATATTAAAACAAATGAAACGAAACGAAATGCTTTTGAGATAGTTTGTATGGAAGTATTTTCGATGTATGATTATTTCAGTATAAATTGTTGATAGATTTGTAATATTTGTTTATGTGTTAATTTCTGTTTATAGTAAATTGAATTAGAACAGTCTTAACATTTAATTTATGTAAGATTTTTTATTTCTTTAGCAAGACTATTTTAATATTTGTTGTAAATAAATATGAATAATGTATATTGTGTATTAAATGTTTATTGATATTGATAATGCTTACAACGGATATCAAATCTAATGTCTCATATCCTTTTGAACCTAGTCTCTAACTCCATGTTAACGCTTCAGTGATTATGTTGAAGAAAAAGCCTTTACAGAAGACTGTATTGATTACTTGTGTTTCGATTTTCATCTTTATACCAGTAAGTCATTTTTTTGTTTAATCCGGTTACTTGACATCAAAAGTTACGCATCATTTCTCTTAAAATAACATATTTAAGTTTTGGACAACCTAATAAAAACTGAAGCTCTGTCCTATTCGTGAACTTTTATAATGAAATCAGACTCGATGAAAAAAACATTCCTAAGGATGGAGTAGAAAAAATAACTGTTGAGACATTTCTAAAGTTGTATACAAGTAAAGTTTATACCTTCCGCATAGTTGCATTTGGTGTCTTGCATATATTTTTGTAGTTTATTCTAAGTGGTCCTTTTGACTCATTTACTCAAATTAATTATGCTGTTTACTATTAAGGAATAGGTATGATATCATAGAGACAGTGCGTTAAGAAGGGGTCACTGTGGTTTAAGATCGATTAAGTGTATCTTTGGTGTTAGATACAAGCAATAACGATGTAGATGTACTTACTATGAGAGGTATACATTTTTTCATTTCTTAATTGTGCATTTTGTTATGTTTAGATATATCTTAACTTGAATAAAATATTATTTTGATTCCTGGGTTGAATTTTAATGAAGTCGACAATCGATTAACTATGGACATGCTAGTTGTCGTTTAACACTGACATCATATGAATAATAGATATGAACATCTTTTAGTTTTTGATACTCCTGGTAAGGAAAGCATGTAGTCGCCGCCCTGTCCGTCCGTCAAAATTTTGTCCGGAGCATAACTAAAAGAACAAAACCATAAGCGTTATCAACATAAGACTTCATATGTAGATAGATCCTCATGAGAAGTTGAAGAGAGAGTTATTGCCCTTTGTTATTTTTCATACGTATATTTTGTCCCTTTCGGGGAGCATAACCTGTCTCAGACGGCCCTTGTTTACCTAAAAGTCCCTTAAGTAACTGGGCTAGGTTACAATAAATACGCCTTATACTGATATAGTATATCCTACACCACAATAACTTTTCAAAGATGTAAAAAATACCAAAGCAATAATTGAAATACGTATATAACTACCAAAAAATCACACCGTTTTAAGAACTGTACAAAAACACAAGCTCACGTTTCCCTATTTCAATTTTTCAATTCTGAATAACATTTCTGTAGTCGTTACCTTTTTTGTTTACATGCCGTAGATGATTTTGTCGATGTAATGATCGTATGGAAAATATTTCCGGTAAGAAATTGAACTTGTTTGATGTTTGTTAGTATACTTGGTGGTTCCTTTGTTGTTTACCTGATTCACATTTGAGAACGTGACATTACTTACTTGGATTGACTAAGACTTTCATGGCATGTGTTGCCAATGCAGATAAAAAGACGCGTACCCTTCCCGAACACCTGGTCTTGTTCGTCCAGGACTTTCCGTACAATTAATTTGCTATTATTGTGCCATAATTTTGTCGAGTT